GAGAGAGAGAGAGAGAGAGAGAGAGAGAGAGAGAGAGAGAGAGAGAGAGAGAGAGAGAGAGACCATAGCGAGAGAGAGGGAGAAAAGCAGTGTTTTGAGGAGCAGACGAGGAGTGGGGATGGACATCGAGAAAGACGGCGTTTTTTTGTTCTGAGGAACAGAGGAAGAGAGGGGATCAACATGGCTTCCTCTGGCAAGTAGATGGTTGTTTCTTGTTCTTCTTCTTCTTCTTCTTCTTCTTTTACTACTACTACTACTACTACTACTACTACTACTACTACTACTACTACTTCAGCTTCTTCTTATTTTTCTTTTTCTTCTTCAAGAGGGCAAGGCCGCACGACGCTCTATTCTCAGATGATTTGGAAAGTAGGTGATTGATAGATTTGACAGAGTTCAACCGCCCGAGCCCGATATTTTTGTGTTTTTCTATCGATTAATCAATCAATCAGTCAATGAATTGATCAATCGATCGATCGATCACGTTGGATTGATTGATTGATGGATTGGTTGATTTATTGATTGGTTGATTAATTGATTGGTTGATTGATTGATTGGTTGATTGGTTGATTGATTGATTGGTTACCGGTCGGCCGCCTCCCCAGCGCGTGCACACACAGACATACAAACACACACACGTAATACCAGTTTCCCCCCATCCCAACGTCGATCCCGATCTCGACCCCAATTTTCCCCCATCCTGATCCCAATTTTCCGCCACCCCGATCCCGATCTCGAATTTTCCCCGGCCCATGCTTTCCCTCACGATTCCCCCCAATCTTTGAATCTTTCAATCTTTCAATCAATTAATGAATCGATGAATTGATTAATTTAATCGATTGATTGATTGATTGATTGATTGATTATTTTTTCTTTTTTTTTTTTGCCATACTTCAGTGCCCTAGTTTTCTTCTTCTTCTTCTTCTTCTTCTTCTTCTTCTTCTTCTTCTTTTTTGCTGATACGGAACCTATCTTCGGTCGATTCGGAACCTACTCTCCGCCGATCCAGAACCTACCCTCCGCCATTCCAGAAACTACCCTCCACCAATCTGGAAGCTACCCTCCGCCGATCCAGAGGTTACCCTTATGACGAACGTTGATTCTGACCCTGATCCCAATCTTGATCCTGACCCTGATCCCGACCTTGATCCCCCCCCCATCCCCACAGCGGCCCGACCCGAGTATTCCTTGGGCGTGCTTTTTTGTTTTTTGTTTTTTATTTTTTGTTTTTTGTTTTTTGTTTTCTGCAGATTCCGTCAATGAATTAATCAATGAATCGATCAATCAATCGATCGATCGATCAATCGATCAATCGATCAATCGTTGAATCAATCAATTAATCAATCAATCGATACATCAGTCAATCAATGAGTCAACCAATCGATGAATCAATGGATTCAATTGGCTGATTGATTAATTGATTGATTGGTTGCTTGGTTGGTTGGTTGATCGATTGATTGACCGGTTGATCCCTTCCCGCTGACCTTTACACCCGCACCCTTCCCGCTGACCTTTACACCCGCA